AAAAAAAAAATAAAACAATCTGGATTATGCGCTTATCAAATAAATTACTGTCTGTTTGTCACTTTAATCATTTATCCGAAAATCTCTGCTGCAATTATTCTCGTGTTATTCTATTACTAATAACTTAAACCGTGATTTGTAATTATCGAACCTGAGAACGTAAAACATTTAAATCTCTAACATGTTTAGAATTAAGCGTTATTCTGGCGAATCGCTCGGCCACATTGTACCACTTGGAGCGTCACGAGTACGCGTTGGAGGACATTGAGGAAGCTTTGCAACTCGGTTACCCGAAGAACCTTTTCTATAAACTCGAAGAGCGACGGGCCAGGTGTTTATTGGGCCTGAAGAGGCACGACGAGGCGGTCAAAACGTTCAGGCGGGCCCTCCAGGCCCTGGACGACGCCAGGATACCCTTAGAGCGTAAGCAGAAGTTCGAGGCGGACATCAGGGTGATGCTGGCCGTGATGGATAAGGGCAAACAGCTTAACGAGACTGCCAAGAATCTTCCGCGAGTTCACGGCAAGCAAAAGTCCAACGCGCATTTGGAGGACAGATTTATCCTCGAGAAGAAAAGGAATCCTCTGTACCCCGCTTGCAGCAAAGCGGTGGAGATCAAGGACGATGGGGGTGACGTGGGTAGGCACGCCGTGGCGGCCAGGAAGATAACACCCGGCGAGATCGTGATCGTCGAACGACCACATTGCACATTTTTGCTGGCGGAGTACAGGTAGATCGAAGTATCATAATTAATGATAGGCGATTTTCAGATTCATCTTTCAGAAAATTGATCTTTTTCCTCCAAAAATCGATTTCTTAAATCGATTCTTTTAGTTTTTAAGTCGTGCAAAATTTATATCGCGACTAAAATGTGCACGACTTTCAAGGCTCACGCATTGCCACCTGTGTTTCGCGAGGATATTCGTACCGATGCCTGCGGCTTGTCACACCTGCAGCTGTGTCGCGTACTGCAGCCGCCGCTGCAGAGATGCGGACGCCCAAGTGCACTCACGGGAGTGTAAGCTACTGCCGGCCCTGTGGCACTCGAGAGCCTCGGTCACGTGCTACCTGGCCCTAAGGGCGATTACGCAGAAACCTTTCGGGGAAACTATAAAGCTGAAGGAACGTCTCAGGAATCCCGGAAGTGCGTCGAAGATTTCTGCGGAGAATCCGTATCGAGGGGATGACTACGCGAATGCCTTTTACAATTTAGGTAATTAACTGAGGAAAGTAAAAAAAATATAACAATGTTCCCTAAACGACTATGTAGTTTTGTAACACAATTAAAAAAAAAAAGATAAAATCCCGGATTATATAAGTTTATAGTTCAAAAGTAAATTTCTACTGTAAATGTTTTATTACGCAAATGTGTACGCAAAAATTTCGCAGATTTTTACGTAAAAATATCGCTAAATTTTCACTTCTTAACTTCTTTCAATTAATAAAATTATCAAGAATTTTACTTCGAACTTTTTTCAAGATAATTAATTGATTCTCTTCCCTATAAGTTAGTGAAGCAATTATTGAAATTTATGAATTATTTTCTTTTTCGATACGCTCATATCCTTTTTACATTGAGATTTTTTAAAATATTTTGCGTATTTATATTTCGACAGTTACCCACGAAGACAAAAGGTTGCCTGAGGATATTTTTCACAGAGCCTACATGGCAGCCTGGCTGTTCAGATTATTAATGGCCAGCGAATATTTGCCAGAAAATGTGAAAACCACCGATTCAGCGGATAGTAAATTGTCAGACGAGGAATTATTTATCGCGGGATTACTGTTGCACAATTTGCAGTTATTGCAATTTAACTCGCACGAAGTAAGAACGACACATAACGCATTATAATTCGTTCAATCTTGATGATTGCTTTATATAAGAACCGCTTTATAATATATTATCTTTAAATTATTATCTCTAATTTATACAATAAAGCGTTTTATTAATTTTTTAATTTAACAAAGTGTATATACATATATATATATATTGTACTGCAAACTTGCATAATTATTGTTTTATCTATAAATTGAAGACTTTTTGGATAATCGTGACTTTATTATTATGGACTTTATAATAAAATTGCGAGAACAAATACAATGACGGCGCGTTATGTTTGTTCTCGTAATTCGTAATTACTGATCGTATATAGCTTGTTCTCTAGATTTCAGAACTGGTAAGGCCAAAAGGGGAGAAAACACTCGCTAAAGCCAAGAGTGTGTTCATAGGCGGTGGCGTTTACCCTACGGTAGCGATGCTGAATCACTCGTGCAATCCTGGCGTGATTCGGTAAATAATAAATGCTCTATTCGCCGTCATTAACCACGTTATTGTTAACTAAATAGACCGAACTGAAAATTTAAATCAAGGTATTTCATCGGTACCACCATGATTGTTCGCGCTGTTCGCACAATTGGCGCAGGTGAAGAGATCTCCGAAAACTATGGTCCAATCTTCACAACCATGCCCGAGAGTGAGCGGAAAAGAAAATTGAGAGTGCAATATTGGTTCGATTGCAATTGCGAGGCGTGCTCGGGACACTGGCCGCTTCTCGACGAATTGGATCCAACAATACTCAGGTATTTGTTAACTTCCTCATATTGATAGATATTATTCCAAAATATATAATTGATATTACCTACTTGATTATTTTTCAATTGAGCGAATCAATTATTATTATAAATAACCGTTAACATCTCTAAATACAAAAATTATTTTTAAACAGAGTAAAATATAAGAAATTTCTCTTAAATATAAAATTGAATTAAAAACTATCGAGCTATTCTATTTTATTAATAACGTATCGTTAACTTTATCATGTTACATCAGTTCGTTCTTCTAGGTTTAAATGTGAGACTGGACCGTCCTGCGGTAATGTGTTGTTGGTACGAAGCGATACGAACGAGTTCATGATCGGATGTGCGAAGTGTGGCAAGAGCACGAATATCCTGAAGGGCCTGAAGGCCCTACAGGATACAGATGCGCTTTTTAGGGTCGCATCGACGAGTCTCGAGGAGGGCCGAAACGAGCAGGCGTTGAAAGCGTACCTGGAGATCCTAAAGCTACTGGACGAGACCCTGTCGTTGCCCATCAAAGATTATCACGTCTGTCAGCAAGGGGTTAGACTATGCTCCCTTGCTTTGGGCAACGCAGCTTATATCTAATTTCATCATGGAATTATATAAAAAATTTATGCTATCTTTCTATTGCAAAATAAAAAAAATGCAAATTTCTTCTACAGCTAAGCACAAATTTGATGAATTTTAAATTATTTTTTTATCAGAAATTATAAAAATATCAAACGAAGAATTAAATTTGCATCATGATCATTTTTAGGGAAGAAAAAATATACACATACGCACTTACAATTGTACAATTTTGTAATTTTTGTTTATTAATATGATCTATTGTCGAGATAAATAAAGAGGACAGTATACAAATTTCAGACATAATTTCTCATCACGTGCGCGTTTGTAATACACAAAGAAAAATTAATTTGACTGAATTCTGCACACTTACAAGTTTATTTTGTGATTTAAATTTCAATTAGTAAATTTCAAGTACAAACTATAACAGGTACAAAATAAATGTTAACTTGCACCCTTTTGGGGTTATATCCGTACATGGCGTAGATGCCGGTGGACAAACAGTAGATAAATATTGATTTTATAATTATATTATTAATGATCATAATCAATCACCTTAAAAGTAATCGTCAATTTTAGTTTCTTTGTAAGTCTGTAAGTAGCACATATCTTAATGAAATTGATTAATTAATATGACGCACACAATTATTCGATGATGCGTGCTACAATGTGCATCATAATTTGCATATGAATAAGCATACATATATAATAGAAGTGAAACAAGAATACGAGCTTATATGCGTTATAGACTAAATCGTTCGCAAAATCCGTTGAAATGGTTCTCTTAATGTGCTTCCCATTTATCATGGTCGTTTATATTCTCAAACGCAAGCGTGTAGTATGTATGTGTGGTTAACACTCAATTTTCATTATATACATACAAAATTGTCTCTCCTTTTATCTCTTTCTCTCTTTCTGCATTCCCTCCAGAAATCGGTCCCGCTTTCTCTCTCTTTCTCTATCTGCCTCTCTTTCTCTCTCGAACTTTTAGCATCTAACTGCAATTAGATAAAAAATATAAAGCTTAGACAAAAGAGTGTATCATGGCGTAGGTATATTTTTCTCTTTTTTTTTTTTTATTTATTGTCCTTATCACAAGAGAGGACGTTGCCTCTTTTGCGATGAATTTTCACGACGAACGCGGAATTCTCATTGTGTCGTACAATGGTAAAAGATCTTTTTCTCTTTTTGTTTATCTAATAACACCAATTTTTGACAAAAGCGCTGGAAGACGCATTTGACCGTTCTGTTGTATCTTTATTGATTTTTTCTGTTACATTGATTGTTTTTTTTTTCATTTATTGAAGAAAATTTTTGCTGTTTTTTTTTTACTTTTTGTCTTTTAATTAGCAGGGTTAATATGTTAATACCGTCTGTCACGGGAATCCGAACGCGAGCGGCGATCTCGGCTGCGGCTTCGACTCAATGACCTCCTGCGGGGGCTGCGAGATCTTGACCTAAAAAATTAAAAGCAGTTTGACATCATTTTCATTTTGAGGTAGCAGACAAGATTATTAAAACACGTCTCTCCGCTCCATTACGAACCTTGCAAATAATTATAAGTGTCGCAAATAAATAATACATTAATATTGTAATATTTCTCAAACAATTGTTTCATAATATTAATATTATTTGCCTGAAATTATCAATTAATGTTACTTTATTAGCAAAAAATATTAATTATTACGATAAACAAGCGATCGTTTTAAATGCAATTAATTGTTAAAGGAATAATAATACTTAATAATTTACTACTCAATAATTTACTACCTTCGAATGATATTGACCGCAAATATAATCATTGTTACTCCTCTAAAATAGCATTCATAATTACTAATTACGTTAATTAATTAATAATTACAATATATTGTAATTTTTTATTCGCAAATTAAATTGATAAGATAAATGTAAATTTGTAATTTAATGTTTCATTTACTAACGCTTACTAAAATTTTCGCAATTTGTTTTTACTTCGCAATGATCACTTGGTTATCGTTATAACAGAGCACTTGCAATTTAAATAAAATTACGACAAGTTCGAGATGGAGCGAAATAACGTGACAAAACACAGGTACGAAAAATCATCGCAAGGCAACTGTAAGAGAATTAGGATTATCTAGTTCCTATTTTACCTAAAGGGTGATGTAGTAAAACTATATATAAAGTTAGACACGATTAATAATGAATTAATACAAAATGACGTCTCACCAATCGAATGCGAAACCAATCAAAAAAGTAGAGGATTAACTTTAGTAGTAAAATCATTAAATTTTATCAGTAAATGTTACACTTCGATATATAGATATATATATATATATATATATATATATATATATATATATATAATTATATATATATATATATATCGATTTTATTATGCGTATCGGCCGGGAGTTCTCTGATTTAATTAAATCTACTTCATTCATTTATAAATATTCAATTACCAATTTCACTTTCTTAATCAATTCCTTCGAAATCTTTGTTTTGTCTACAACTTTGACGGAACACATAAATTCTCCATAGCCTCAGACAGAACTCCATGCCGAAACGATCACAAGTCCAAAACAAAAATTGTATAATAAAGTTAAAAAAATGATATTTATATATTAAAAAATGAAAATAGAGATAGAGATAAAAAATCTTTGAAAATCGGTGAAATACCAGATAACTGTGAACATGTGGTGGTAGTTGGTGGTGGTTGGTTGGTGGGTGGTGGTGGGATGGTGTGTAGTAGGTGGTGATCATTTCGCTTATTTTGCGTGATCGCTCGAAGTCGAAGGTCGAGAAGATCTCTCGGTGGCAACTCTCGCGCATTCAGTTGTTGTTGCGGCTAACACACGTCCCTAATCGATGGTCGACGAGTAGTGGCAGTAGCAGTAGTGGTAGAAGTAGCAGTAGCGGTAATACTAGTGGCAGTGGCAGAATAGAAACGTCGGTCTCGAAACGACGAACAATCGGGAAGACAGTCGATCGTAGTCAAATGGAGAGTCGCGCCGATGAACAGAATTACTGTACAGACGGTTTAATTCTTTTTTTTCTTTCTATAGTTTTGCATCGCGATTGGTTCACGAACTGGTGGTTGGCAGCCGGTTGCGGGTGACATTTTTCTCACGGTGGCGAATTTTTTGGTTTTTGGCGATTGATTCGATGTGTGCTGCCGTCCCCCTAGGCTAAAGCTGAGACGAAGAGTCGAAGAAGGTGGAGCACAACAACACCCGGTGGTCGGTCGATTGATTCGGTTGGTGGTTGGTGGTGGTGATGGTGGTAGTGGTGGTGGTTGGTGGAAGAGTAGTAGTAGTAGTAGTAATAATAGTAGTGGTGATCGAAGGGGAGAGTCCCGTAGTGGAGTGATGGACGATTTTTTTTCGGTTCAAGACCGTTTTTTGGCGGTGCAACGACGGCGGACGGGGAGGAGGGGGACAACAACAAAAAAGCAATGTTTTTTGGCTCTTTTTCTTTTTTCCGAAGGTAGCAGTCTCGGGCACTGGCGGTACTCCGGCAGCGGCGACGGCGCACGGAAACTGTTGGTTTTCGGTTGTTGCGCCCGTTGGGTGCTGTGTGCACGTCGCAACACCCACAAACGCACAACATCGACGAGCGACGTGACGTGACGTGACGTGACGTGACAGACGTACGGACGGCTTCCTATATATTCGGTGACTTGGTGGTGACTGATGGTGACTTGGTTGGGAAGTTAGTGGGCAGGCAGGCATATTTTTTTTGTTCAGTTTGGTTCGATTGACGATTGCGAGACTGACTGATTCGCTTTGTTTTTTTCGTTCGCGTACGCATACGCTTTTTTTCACGGCGGCTGTAGAAGTAGTAGTAGCAGTAGTAGTAGTAGAAGTAGTAGTAGTAGTAGTAGTAGTAGTGGCGGGGAGACGAGCAGAGCTAGGAGCTGACGCTGGTAGAATCTGCAAACGTCAGTTTTAGCAATATAATCATCAACGTTATCATACTCCTGGCCACTATCGCGTATCTCTTACACGTTTCACTGTTCCTTTTTTTTCTTTCCGCGAACTTTCGTTATTACTGGGAGGAAAAAAAAAGAGTTTGCGAATCGAGATGTATACAATTGCACGCGCGCTCGCTTCTCGCCGTTCTCACCGATCGATATTTTTTGCATTCTCCGTTTATCCTAGACTGCCCACTCGAGTACGTACGAGAAAAAAAAAGAAAAAAAAAAAAAAAAACGAAGGGAGGACCTCTCTGTGCTCCGTGCTGATCGGCTCGGATATCTATTTATGTGATGGATGTATATACCTGTTTCCGTACGCATCACATTCTCGTCGCGACGCATCAAGCATGTATTGACTTTCCCGAAATAAACTGATAAATACTGTAAGTTCAGATTACACCGATCACTTCCGTACGCTTGAATTACTGCGTGCTTCATCCATGCCACGGTGCGTGTGCGATGAGAAGTGACGAAAGCAGTGTTCGTTCATCTTAACTTCTTTCGGTATCAGAAGTCCCGAGACGAGCAGCAAAAATATATTTATACCCCGAGATTAAAATATATACCGTTCAATACATTCAACATAAGAATGTTACCTTCCCTTTTTTTTTAATAAATAGATAATTAACTAAAGACTCACGATATTGAAACTAACCAGTAACAAAGACTTCTTTTTTTATATTGGTGAAATGTAAAATTTAAATTAATGAAATGAAATCTCAAATTACTCTTAATATTAACAAACATCAAAGATTCCATTAAATTAATTACAGCTAAAATGTATATTACATTTCTTGCATAAGAAGTTATTAGTAGAAATAAATCTGTTTTCAAATCAACCACCTCTCAACTACCCTCCTATCATAACAATCTTAAAAAAAGTGCCAATGTTTCTGAAGCTATATATTTAATTTTACTTCTATCATTCGCGAACTTTAGGCACCAAGAAGATCCCCCATTTTGAAGTAAGGAGTAACATCGATAATGGCACGATACGCAAGTTTACACGCGTAATTCCGAGATGCAATTTTGTTGCTTCCATACGACGTTACCATACCTATCTGAAATTCCCGATCCTGCCTTCGCTTTGTTATTATATTACTTCTATCTAATCCCTCCTCATTCTCGTCTACCATCGCACAGTTCGTTCAGTCCCGTCCTCCCACTCTCAACTCGATTGCCGAGAGATCATGCATTATTTTTTCTTTTCTTTTACCGTCGCTCGAGTACCCACGAGTTCGCCGAAATCATGATCGACTACTCTCTAAGTTCTTCAGTTTTCCGATTATAAGTTTCGACCGCTTACGGAGAGAACGGTGACGAAATAAATAAAGAAATTAATTTCTGTAGGAAAATTTCATTGAGTTAAATGCAAATTTTTATTTTTTTTGTGTTAATCTTCGCGATTAATTCGATTCCATCATCGTTCTCTTAAATGCCTCTAGTTATAGTGACTACTATCTCGTGATATATAAATACGTGCAACATGTATATGTACTGTACGAGTGCAAGCAATAGTTATACCTACTGCCCATCCCGTTTCGCCAGGACCGTAGATTCTGAAAACTTTTGCGAAGCGAGGTACAAAAAAATAATCAAACAGCGGAAACAAAAGAGAAAAATTAATTACCTGGAATAGCGGCTAATCGATGATCTCCGGGGACTTCTCGAGCAGGATCTACAAAAGATTAAGAATAACTAATGTATGTCTGCCAAGTGTTTCGCCAATGATCGCCTCGCGTCACGCTTTGAGAGATTTTCATTTGTCTTAGCACCTGAAAATTGCGGTTGGCGGCAAGATGGGTCGGAGAGAAAGCAAGACGGATTTATTTGTAAAGAGGAGACGCGGAGATAGCTAAAAGGAGCGGGAGTCTTACCTCGGGTAACGACCAAGGGATTTCCTACGGGGGCTGCGCGACCTGGACCTACAAATTTGTTTAAAAAAAAGAAAAGATATATCGTACATAAATCCGATAGTTTGCTAAAGCGTATGGACAAGAACATTGCAATAGGAAAGAGAAAGAACGAAAAACAGAAATAGAAAGACATGAATAGTGATACCTAAGACAGTCTAGTGCTAAGAAAAAAAAAGACTATAAGGAATATTTAAAAAATGATTTAGCATGCAAGAAATATACGCTTCACATATGTAATATTATATATAATAAATATTTTTTATGCAATCAGATAGAAGAAAAATTGCTGATAACAACGTTACTTTTAATTCATCGTTAAACAAATAAAAAGAGTTCGAACAAAAATTTAAATTCAGATTATTCAATTAAACTTATAAAACATTAATTATTATTAAATATTTCTTTTACGCGTTTAAAAACAGATATAATCTATAATGTAATCACCAGAATATTCTAAAAGTATCTTGATACATTATAGATCAGGCATGGTCAACAGTTAACCACTTGAACTCCAATGCGAGTAGATCGTGGGACGTGCAACCCTCCACCATTTGACATAGGATGCCGGCTACACGTATGTTATGCATATGATAGTGGCGATCCATGTCAAGTGTCCCACGTCTCGCGATCTACCCGCACTGGCTCCGGAGCTCGAGGTTGATCATGAGGTTTGTTCTTTTTCAAAGAGCTTCCTAAACTGGTGCACACTGATGTAATAAGTTAGAGTGAGACAAGTATATTTTGTTTCCAAGTGCACCAGTTCAGGGCACGTATTATGAAACTTTTCGGAATGGATTCCGATCGGAATTGTTCAGTTATTTCTTAGATTTCTATTGTCTTTTCTAGGGAAAACGGAATAATTCCGATCGGAATCCATTCCGAAAAGTTCCATAATACGTGCCCTGGAAGTTCTTCGAAAAATGACAGACGGCATGCCTGTTATAGATGAATTCAATTTAAATTAATTCATTAACCAATTAACATTTAAATTGTATTAAAAGAAATATTTAATAATATCTGATACTATAATTGAAATCAATTAATATTAACTGTGCTCGAGACATTTAATTAACTCTTAAGAAAAAGTTACGAATATGACTTATTCCTCACAATCTTTTGCCTTAGTACGTAGGAACTGGGATTGAATAGTGCAATATTTCCCTATTCGCGCGAACATGCAACGTGGATTTAGCCGTGCTCTGGCTAATCCCCGGAATTAACCTTCCACCATATTCATGCAGAATAATATCTACAGTAGTGTAATCTCTGCGAGCGAGAGGAATCGTGCGACCTTAACTTAAAATTCGAAAAATCGGCAGTCTGAAACTGCGAACTTGCGATCGTGAACGAGGAAAAGGAGGATTAGCCAGACACACGACAACGACGAGAGAAAGAAAAAGCACGATATATAAAAAATATATAAATATGCAAACTAAATATGTATATATCGATATTCCTAGATAGACATGAGAGAAAATATCGAGTATCGCGATGGTGATGTGCACGAAAAAGTATTCACTGAGGGGAGGAAAAAAAAACTCGTGCATTACTCGTTTCGCTGATAAGAGCGCACCCTTACCTTAAGGGCAAGAGAGAAGCTCTTCTGCATTTGAATACCTACGTTGACGAGGAATGCTTAACCGTGTCACAGCTCTAACGCTTGTTTTCGCTGTAAAGTTCGCGATTGTTACGAAATGCTGCGGAATCTCTTACCTGGAATATCGAGGACCTGGCCTGCGACCACCGCCACCACGGCGACTTCTTCCAGAGGACATCTCAACTCTCACTCTAGTACCACAGCACCGTCTAAAAGATAATAATTGATGTTATCAGCTCTGAAATAATGATCTTACTGTGCTAATATGTTACTAGCATCTTACTGCTAATATCTACTGCCAATATATATTTTTCTCTCCCTTTGAATAGATCAAAAATCAAAAGACATCTCACCAATTTTAGGGATAAGTAGATAATTGCATTGCAAGTAATCAGAACTTTTTAAACACCAAGTAATAGTACAGTTTATTTTCCCTACTGCTCATAAATTTGCTTATATCTGAACTTTCATAATACTTTAACAAACAAGTTGAAAACGAGTTGAAAACTAGAAAACTTATCAGTTTATCTTTATTGATGCAAGATATTTATTACTGGTACAAAGGTCTATTTTTCTCTATGGAGGCTAAAGCTATACTCGAACTAGCAACAGTAAGCTCTTAATATAATAATTACTAATTCTCGACGTACGTTCCGTCTAGGCCTCTCACTGCATCTTCAGCATCTCGCGGATCTTCAAATTCCACAAACGCAAAGCCAGGAGGGTTTCTGGCTACCCACACATTTCTCAATGGACCATACTTACTAAATGCACTCTCAATCTCATGTTTACTAGCGCTGCTACCCAGATTCCCAACGTAAACCTTGCAGGATAGATCCCATTCACGATAACGAGACATTTTCCTGCCTGCAAACAAGTACATTATAAATAATAACATAATCCAGAGATTTGTATCTTGCTCTATAAAAGCAAGCTATAGATATACCATATATATATACAGTTATCTCTTTATTTTTGGTAGGTTACTCCTTTTTAGGGTAATATTTTATTTGTAATATTTTATTTGTCCTAAAACAAATTTTTGAAGCGTATTGATTGGCTACAAAATAGAAAATTTT